CGCGCGCAGCTGTTCACATGCATGATCTATTTGCAGATGCTTTACAGCACTTCTGATGCATGATCCTCGTGCAATTCATCTGCATACGGTTTTAAGTTGGTTCCCCAGTTTAATGGAGAGGTCACCATTCGATGTAACCATACATATATACATAACATGGTAGTGAGGTTTTAAGTTAGTCCTAACCTTTTTGATGTTACTTATATGGTTTTACGAGAGAAATGATCCCATAAAAGTTCACTTCAAGTCAAAGAATAAGAGCGTGAGTAATAAGCAGGAGTGCTCTTGCAGCAAATATTCAGCAAATGTGACTTATCTCCCTTGGTATCACTACTCCCATGCGATGTAGCCTACTTGATAGCCGATAGAAACGCATGCATCCAGCTGCAAAATAGCAAAGAAGGTTCAACTCAAACAATGTTTTACATTGAGACACAAACTGGAACGGAAAGTTCCATTGCATTTTCTCGCGCATGATGTTCTGAGACTCAGGGAGAAGGCTCAGAGCACCATTCAGACTGTAGAGAGATTATGGATAATAAAGCATATGACTCTTATGGATAACAACTTTGTTGTTTAGACAGAGGTAGTTGCGATGTTTCGTAGATTCCTTTTAGCTTGTAAATGGTGTAAGAACCCACACGGACACGTCGTAATGCCTATTAGAAGTTACATGAGGCTTTTCGGGATACAACCTGATTATGACGAATTATTAAGGAATACAGGAGGCACCAGGCTTTAATTTCTTAGAGGACTCCCTGAATCTATAATTCTGTGATGTCATTACCATATGGGGTGGTGGGGTAGCCTTGTGGTTAAAACGAACGCTCGTCAAGCCGAAGACCCGAGTTCAATTCCCCACACGGGTACAGCGTGTGACGTCAACCTTCCCGCTGTGAGAGTATTGCTGGATTATTGCTGAAAGCTCGGCGTAAAACTGCTTCCACCTGTCATTACCATAAGGCTGGCGTTACCTCCTGTACTTCCGGAGACGGAATGTGGCTGTGATCACCTCGATATAAGGCCAGTAGATTTGTTCTCAAAACATTGGAAGCTCAAAACAAGAAACTCTTGCTAGATTGCCTCTTCCAAGGCGACATACACAGTATATGAACGTGTACTCTCCATCTCTGAGCCCAACATGCTCAGTGTATTCACAGGTATGCAACAGGTAATACGAATCTCAACCAAACGAAACATTTGATCTAAACACCACCCTGATACATGCTCAAAGTGCCTATCCACACTACCTGGCCTACAACGTCTTTGTCTTACCTCCACAAAGAACAACGATAAACCTGCTTACCAGGTGTACCCACGTACGGTTCCTACCCTGTGAAGCATGTCCCTCTTACCCGTACAACCCGTTTGTCTTACCTGTACACCGTGTTTGTCCGCCCTTTGGCTGAATGCACCATCACAACCCCATAACCCCTGGTGTACCTGTACGGCTTACCTGTATGAAACATGTTGCTCTTTACTCGTACAACCTGTTTTGTCTTACCTGTAATGCAGCGTGTTTTTCTGTACAAAGCTCTACTACGCAAACCTAATAATTTGGTGTAGTGGCGACAACATGTTCCTCTTACCTGTACAACCTGTTTGTCTTACCTTGTACAACGTAAGCTTCTGCACAAAGCTCTACTCACAAACCGCAGAACTGGTGTAGTGTATCGCCCTACCTGTATGATGAGAGCATGTATCATCACCAACCCCATCACCAGCGCCAGCACCGTGGACGTTGATCACACACTCTGAAACAAAGAACTACGTCATGAAAGTAAGCTGGCTGTGTTTGGTTTAACGCCGCACCGCAGCAGGATGCACCAGCCATATGGCAGCGGTCTGTAAACAGTCGAGTCTGGACCAGACAACTAAGTGATCAGCGCAGTAATGAGCATCCTATCTGCATGCAATTTGGGATACGATGACATGTGGTCAATCCAAGTCAGCGAGCCTGACTAATTCGATCCCGTTAGTGGCTCCTTGCGACAAGCGCTATGGGTTACTTTGAATACCAATTCCAACCCAGATCTTCACCGGTGCTTAAATCAACCAAAGTCATCAAGCCTGACCACCAAACATCAAAGCAAGGGTTTGGAGAAGAATTGTGCTCTACACTTTTCTTGAGCAACATGTTTCAGCGTTAAGGCTCATCCATATTCGTAAACCAACTATATGTATGAGCCATCGTGAGAGTAAAAGATTACAAACTATTGGTCTAATCTGACATTGGAGGTGAGGGTGAAATTGGGTTTTACGTCGTGCCAAGAATATTTCAGCTCATATACGTGACGTGCATCGCGTGTGTATGTGTATGTGCGGCTGCTTGTACTAGCCCAGACTTAAGCTGGTTTTATAGTGCCAGCAGCCTACTGAGAGATACCATGCCGCAGTGAAGCATGAATACTTACTCAGACACATTATACTGACTCCAGGCCGACCGATTCTTTGTTGTACCCATTAATGCCGAGCGCCAGGCAGGGACCAACAAATTACCATATTTTAACGTCTTTTGGTATGACGCGGTCGGGGATCGACGCTCTAATCAAGTACACCACGGAGGCGGTCATGCGGACATTGGAAACAAACATGACTAGAGATTGCAAGGCATGAAACTCTTCACAGCTCACTTTCTGTCGCTAACAACCACCAGAACATCCGTGCCAACAGTATCTAACACCCATAAGCATACGTAGCGTCTACAAAACAATTGGACTATATTGATTGCTTATTCTCCAGGACATATTTCATCTAAGCGTCTGACTAAATTCAATGGACAGAGTTATGTCCCTTGATCTGTCAGCAACGTGAGATCGTAGGGTCATATCCCGGTTTCGTTGTTCCCAGGGTCCTGGAGTTTAACAGCTCCATACTTACACCCAAATGGTACACGTCCGAGACTTCACTTCGTGCCAGGCTCGCTCCACTTACCCTGACCGCTGTCAGCATATAGTAGCCAACTATTGTATCCAAGTCTTGAGGACTCTTCAACAAACCGCTCGGTATGATCTCCAGTTGGCGTTAGGCCAAAGGCTTGGCGAAATATTTGTTTGCGTATCCGATTAGGATGTCTAGCAACGTCACGAACGAACCCAACAGCTCCAAATGTGACCTGTGAACAAAAGGTACCAGGCTTGTCAGTGCGTTGTTTGATGGATACTCGGAGAGAGTGAATTGAGTTTTATGCCGTTTTTAGCAATAATCAGCGTTAGCGATCACGGCACGGTACACCACAAATGGGTACCACAGATTGTACCAATGTCAGCCGAATTGGACACGTTCATCAGCCTACACGAGCAAACGCTTTAACCACTAAAGCTGTACCAAACCGACAAGAGCTTCGAAGCCCCACAAGAGAAAATAAATTGAAGGTTTAAGATCCGCAGCCACGGGTCGGGCCCTGAAGCCCCCTGAAGTCAACGTATAATTGTGCAATTCTAATCTTTTCAGGAAAAGTCACTGAAAAGATGTATTCGAACCTATTTGTGCATGATTTCTAACGTATATGCTATGAACCAAGTTTGGCGTGAGATTTATCGGGATTTGTCGAGAGAGCTTTACAATGAGTATTGTAACCGTGACTTTCAAGCTTAGAGTGCGTGAGCGCCTCCGCAGATATGCTGTCACCGATGTAAGTATTTGGTAAATGCAGTAATGCACAGGTGATATTGTGAGCAGCGTCGGAAAGTTGGCCACGAATGCCATGAGAGTTATTCTTGCTGATACAATCTCCGGTTTTGCATCCAGGGGACACAACCCTGCACCTTGAGCTGTTGTATCTCAGACGACTGGGGTCAACTAGGCGATGTGTGGTTGATCGAATCCTTTACTTACCACGTAGAGGAGGAACACTCCGACCATGAGAACAGACAGGATACGGGTCGAATACCTAAAACCCTGGAACAGAAACAATGATTAATACCGCAGCAACATCACTGCTGATTCCCGGAGCATGAATGGAGTGAGCGATCCCGTTAGTCGCCCGAATCGAGCCCGAGTCTTCTTCTGAACTAGGCTACTCGAATTTGTTGCGTCAAAAAATCACGCCAGAATCCAGAATTTTAACTTTGGAAGGTACTATACTGATTCAGTGTTCCTAGTTCTATTGGAAACAGTTTGGAGATGCTTCGCAGCATACCTCCCAATCTCTATTATACAATAAGACATTCATAAATATTGCCGAAAAACATCAAATCCACCTGTTCTATTTTTGTAGAGTAATTCGTGTATGGCAGCAAGCAGCCCCGGTTTTGATTTTTGTCCATGCATTTTTTCCGGAGGGCTGGAACGTGGAAGAACGTTGTTATTTACAACGAAAACAATGTACTCATGGATTTAAGTCGATGTACTATGTTTACGGATAGGTTTCATATGAATTCACGTTCAGAGATTGAGTGGAAGGTATGTTTTTACGCCGCTTTGTTTGCTTGTTTCTATTCAAGCTACGTGACGGTTGTCAATCACCGAAGCTCGACCGTGACAATCCAGTGACTTCACATTAACGGGATATTATTAACAAAGAGATTATGAGTGCCAGCCATCAACGTAGTCAGGGAAACTTGTTGAGTGCCAGGATTAATATACCTGGAATCTTCGGCGTCACTAAAGATCTGTGTTCCTGGCCAATCCTCCGCGGCGTGCATTAACCTGTTTTAGAACAGGCATAAACGATGACTAAATTGTCATACACTCAGCACCGATGAGGACAAGACAGCATTCCTTTGTTGGATAATTACAACCTGGGGCATTTTTCTGCTCATGTTGCTGAAATTCATAATTATCTGCCACGCCTAAATATAACAACCAGGAAGGAATTAAATCACTTGCCCAGCAAACAAAGCGGAATGTCAGCACGAGATGTATTTACACAGTCGGGAAGAAACGCTACTCTCGTATGTAAAAACTATATTTAGCCACTGATTTAACTTCTGATGTTTCTTCCCTGGAAACAACATATGTGGTTTTTAGCTTTCTTGCGCTAGTGAAGAAACGGGTTTCATCATTAAGCTACTAATATGATTTTAACACTTCTTTATCAGGACATAATCCTGCATGATTTGAAGAAAGCGTGTTGTAACTTATCCAAATCGGGGAGAGAGATATATTTACAAAATGACACCATGCACAATTCAATTAGCCAATCGGGCCAGTGACTGTGGAGAATTACTGGCCAGACTGAGTTTACCATCCTCGATAATCTCCAGGGTATGACAGCCATTGAGCACTCTCCACTATACCCTGGATGCATCCACGGCTTGGCAGGGCGATGATTTTATTACCTCCCTTTGTCGGCTTTTTATCCAGTCCAGGTGCCTACGCTTCAGGAAGTCGAGCGTACAAATCACTCATCACTTTCATGCCTTAAAATTATCTGAACCGTTTAAACTTGGCAACCAATTGATGCAGAGGTACTTTGAAGAAGTAGAAGGAGTTCTTTCATATATTCTTTTGAAGTTTCAGATCTGTGAATTTGTCTTTATTATTTCCCCAAAATCTAGGTGGCACTACGAACAAACCTTTGCAACGTGCGACCCAATCTTTGTTGACACGGCAAGCTCGGATAATGCGGCGGCTTAGCTGATTGGCTACTGTGAGAATGCGGAGCCAGCCAAGGGAAGGTAATAAAATCATCGCCGTGGATGCATCAGGGTATAGTGGAGAGTGATCGTAACGTATACCTTGGAGATTATCGAGGATGGGTTTTACTGGCCAAAAGGCTAGCGAGGCCAGTGGTTGTTTCGCACTCTGCTTACCGGATTTGGTATTGTCACACATTAAGCACTTACGGGGGTCGGGAGCATATAGAATAATATGCACTTACGGGGTCGGGAACAGACAGATAATATGCTCTTAGAGCGGATAAAGGAACAGACAGATAATATGCACTGGTACAGGTCGGGAACAGACAGATAATATGCACTTACGGGGTTTAGGTGCTGGTTTCCTGAAGAGTTTGATGACGTGAAGTCCCTGGTAAGATTCCTGAATGTACTTCAGAGTCTGGGGAACATCAAGATCGGTTTCTTCCGCCTCAAAATACTTCTTAGTTTTGAGAGCGTGCGAACAAACCCTGATCGGTAGGATGACGCTGAGATACAAGAGGCAGAACAGGTGTGGTAGACTTCGGCCCACTACCAACATGCGGGCTTCCTGTGTACGCCAATGATGTATATGCCAGATATATGTATGCACTACTACTACAACTACTGCTGCTGCTGCTACTACTAATTTCTACTATGACTACTACCACTATTATCACTACTACTACGACAACTACCACTACGACTACAACTACGACTACTACCGCTACTACGACTACTACTACGACTACTACTATTAGCACTACTACTACGACTCTTACTACTACCACTACTACTGCTACTACTACCGCTACTACGACTACAACTACTACTACGACGACTTCGATGACTACTACTACGTCTACTACGATTACTACTGCCCCTGCTGTTGTTGCTACTACTACAGGTATCGGCACCACCACCATTATAACTAGTGCAACAACCACCACCACTATTACTACCATTGATTCTAATAAGAATGTGTTCGTATCGGCAACTTTGTCTATATTTCTCTATCGGTTTCTCTAACGGTGTCAATTATTATCACGTTGTTTACCTCCTTATGTCGACAGTAAAATGATAGACAAATGATGGTCAAGTAATAATGGTAAAAAAAGGCATCACTAAAACAATGGTTCTGTGTAACGTCAAGAGTAACGTCTGTCTTACGTTAACAATGCTATCTGTATTTCGGCAACAATGGTTCTGTGTAACGTCAAGAGTAGCGTCTGTATCACGTTAACAGTGATGTTTGTATGACGGCAACAATGGTTCTGTGTAACGTCAAGAGTAGCGTCTGTATCACGTGAAAAATGATGTTTGTATGACGGCAACAATGGTTCTGTTTAACGTCAACAGTAACGTCTGTATCACGTTAACAATGATGTCTGTATGTCGGCAACAGTGGTTCTGTGTAACGTCAAGGGTAAGCGTCTTTATTACATTAACAGTGATGTCTGTATGTCGGCAACAATGGTTCTTGGTGTGTAACGTCAAGGGGTAACGTCTGTATTACATTAACAATGATGTCTGTATGTCGGCAAAATGGTTCTGTGTAACGTCAAAGGTACTGTCTGTCTTACGTTAACAATGATGTCTGTATTTCGGCAACAATGGTTCTGTTAAACGTCAAGCGTAGCGTCTTTATCACGTTAACAATGATGTCTGTATGTCGGCAACAGTGGTTCTGTGCAACGTCAAAGGGTAGCGTCTTTATCACGTTAACAATGATGTCTGTATGTCGGCAACAGTGATTCTGTGTAACGTCAAGGGTAGCGTCTTTATTACATTAACAGTGATGTCTGTATGTCGGCAACAATGGTTCTGTGTAACGTCAAGGGTAGCGTCTTTATTACATTAACAATGATGTCTGTATGTCGGCAACAATGGTTCTGTGTAACGTCAAGAGTAACGTCTGTCTTACGTTAGCAATGATATCTGTATGACGGCAACAATGGTTCTGTATGACGTCAAGGGTAACGTCTGTATTACGTTAACAATGATGTCTGTATGACGGCAACAATAGTTCTGTATAACGTCAAGGGTAGCGTCTTTATTACATTAACAGTGATGTCTGTATGTCGGCAACAATGGTTCTGTGTAACGTCAAGGGTAGCGTCTTTATTACATTAACAATGATGTCTGTATGTCGGCAACAATGGTTCTGTGTAACGTCAAGAGTAACGTCTGTCTTACGTTAGCAATGATATCTGTATGACGGCAACAATGGTTCTGTGTAACGTCAAGGGTAGCGTCTTTATTACATTAACAATGATGTCTGTATGTCGGCAACAATGGTTCTGTGTAACGTCAAGAGTAACGTCTGTATTACGTTAACAATGATGTCTGTATGACGGCAACAATGGTTCTGTGTAACGTCAAGCGTAGCGTCTTTATTACGTTAAAAAACATGTCTGTATGACGGCAACAATGGTTCTGTCTAACGTCAAGGGTAGGGTCTGTATTACGTTAGCAATGATGTCTGTATGTCGGTAACAGTGGTTCTGTGTTATACAATTCACTGTATCATAAGAGTTATGACATGCACATTGTCACCATCCCTTATGTATCACGGCGAATGTGACTAGCGGGATCGGGTGGTCAGACTCGCTGGCTCGTATCCCAATTGCCTGATGCTCTTGGAAACACTGGGGCGGTGAGGTAGCCTTGTGGTTGAAGCGTTCGCTCGTCACGCCGAAGACCCGGGTTTGATTCCCCAGTTGGGTACAATGTGTGAAGCCCATTTCTGGTGTCCCCGTCGTGATATTGCTGGAATATTGCTAAAATGGGGCTTAAACCCTCACACACACTCATGCCATCACCGGATTGTTTGGTCCAGACTCCAATATTTACAGACCGCCGCCATGTAGCTGGGAAGGTGCTGAGTGCGGCGTTAAACAACAGCCAACCAACCAATCATTAACCACGTTATCTTGAACCACGAGGCTCATTAACCGTGTAATACAACTTACCCATCTAATGTTACACTCAAAGGTCTTGTAGAACTGCACGGCGGTGATCACCCATACGTACACCGCCCCAATGGCGTAACTGAAGATAGACTTTATGGCCAGTGCAGCGAAGATTGGATAGTACACGAAGCCGTACCATATCATTGATACTATCACGACCAGTGCTGGAAGCAGAATTCAAAAGATTGAATAGAAACGAGCATCAATGATGGACGATGAGGGTACCAGCTGGGTCGACTGAGGAAATTGGCAGTCTCCAAAACTGTGTAAATCAACCAAATGCGTAGATCGATGCCATGATGTTAATCACTGGATTGTCTGGTTCAGACTCGATTATATACCGACAGTCGCGCTATAGCTTGAATATTGCTAAGTGCTGCGATAAACAACCCAAAAAAACACAAAAGTTTTAGAGTGTATCTAGCAGTAAAGGAGTTTGTTAAGGTAATATGAAACGAAGGCAATACCACTGTGTTGTCACTGTTTGTTCCTACACTTATACTGGAAGTGGTAGGGTAGTCTAGTGGTTAAAGCGTTCGGTCGTCACGCTGAAGACCCGGGTTCAATTCCCCACATGGGTAGAATGTATGAACCCCATTACTGGTATCCCCCTCCGTGATATTGCTGGAATATTGCTAAAATCGGCATAAAACTAAATTCACTCACTTGCTACACTAATATGTATATAATACAATCTAAGTTTGTAGACAGCCACAGAAATGCATTGCGAATTGACCCGAGTCAAGTCAAGTGTTCAGACCATGACACTGCATTAATTCACCATATGCCCATCCAGGAGTCAGTGAATGATTGGAGTATAATACCGCCCGGAACAGTATTTCTTCCACCTCTTGGTCTATCCGAGTGATGCAGCTCTTATCAGTGACGTCATCAAACACAGGCATGGTACTTTACAACCAAGAAACAATCAAGTCGAACCTGGATTCCAACAAATGATTAAGGTTCCTGGCAAGCCAAAGTGAGACAACCAAATACAGCGATGTGCAGTACGTTAGATCAACATATCCCCTAAATGAATGTGCTGATGGTGTGTACGTACTTTTTAAGGCTAGAGGTCCTTCATATCGGAAGGCAAACTTTTGCTCGAATATAACTTCATATATGAGGAAGATGGTTGCTCCAAATGCCGCTACGTAGGATATGCTGGCAGATGTGGTAAGTGCGTCCATGGGGCTGTAACAAGATCATATGTAATCAGAATTAGTACAGTGAAGACTGTCCAAACATTAGACAAAATGTAAATAATGAAAGACAGGTAAGTTTAGTCATGCTAACTGAATTGCTGAAAATCATCGTTATCACTCTCGTATTTACCAGACATGGAGTGTAAAGCTGTACTAATGAGTGAGTGAGTGGGTTTTACGCTGCTTGCACCACTATTCCAGCATTATGGGACTCACTCATGGTACCCCTAAACCGGGTCTTGGGGTGACGAGCAAACGCTTTAACGACCAAGCTACCTCACAGTCCCAAGTTCTAATGGTTGAAGAGCTCGCTGGTTATGCCGTTGATCCAGGTTCTATTTCCCAGACGGGTACAATTTGTGAAGAGCATTTCTGGTGTCCCCCCGCCGTGATATCGCTGGAATGTTGCTAAATGCGGCGTAAAACCATACTCACTCATTCACTCACTCAGTGTTCATCGGAGGCAACTTACTGAACAAGTGCAGGTCTGCCATAGAGAAAGTTAACAAATTTCCGTCTTCTCGTCTTCAACAAAGAAAATGCCAGGCTGATCAGCACCTGTAAGAAGGAGACGTCAGTTGTGTATACGACGTAGTCTCTGACCAACGGAAAGATCGACTCAATATTACCTCATGCAAATGAGTTTTCTCAAGTTACAAACAAAACATTATTGGTGAACATCGCGCAGTATATTAGATCTTTGTCATACAGTACTAGAACTGTGGATTGAGTAAGACTTAACATCGCATCAGCATTATTTCAGCACATAGCGACGAGACAAAACTGCACATATACACAAGTCTATTTCAAGTACAAAGTTTAAAGGATTTTCTTAAAAACTTTTCATCATTAGATTATCATCATTTGCAATTAGAAAATGTTACAGCACTAAATTGAAAAACGAGCAATGTGTCATACACATACAAAGTTACAATTTATAGTACAGACCAATTTCTTTTAGGTTGTTCACAATGAGGTTAAACAGAGAAGATGACAGAACTCCATGTAAGACTTACAGCTGGGATAACCGTGTACTGATAGAACCGGAAGTGGTCGATGTGGGTGACGCAGGCCGTCCTGTAAGAAACATAGCAACATAAATATCCTTGCGCCAACATTTCCCAATCACATATCAAATAGTTCAGAGGTACAAATGTATATGTTTCGTTACACAAATTAGCATTAGTTTTGTTTACAATCAATTTCGGCAGAAGAAACTACTGGTTCATCGTTTATGATAAATGTTGGTTGACAGATCACCCAATCACATGTACATGTACCCCTATTAAACGGCAGAAATAGACATAAGACATTTTCCGGTGTCTCCCGCCGAAAAATTGCTGCAATTTTGCTCAAAGCGGCGTAAAGCCATACTCGCCCACACGATGTCGGGTTTTTTTTGCGTTTCAGTATGCCTTCCGACATATAAATACACTGTAGGATGTTAATAAATAATATTATTAACTACGAGGGCTAAAATATCGGGGTTCATATTTTTCATACGATGCCCTTATAGTGGTGACGTGACGTCATGAACAATGCTATGACGTCACGTTTCTTCTGTGACGTTGCGTGCTACATGCGGCGACGGAGGGTAGCCAGCCTATGTTTGAAAGTGGATTTCGGTTTATTTTCCTCAATTTGACGACTTCGGTAATTAACAGAATATTATATTCGTGCCCATATCATACCTTGTTTACAACACTCGTGCCTAAATATCGGTATATCCCTCGTTCTCGCTCGGGAAATACCAATATTTAGGCACTCGTGTCGTAATCATAGTAGGCCTATGACACGGGCACTCATATAATATCCTCTATTAATTAATATCATGGCTACATTATAGGAAATATATAGTCAGAGTAGTGTATATTTCTTCCATATGTATATCATACTTGGACAGGTAGTCTAAGGTTTATAGATGTGTGCGTGCGGTAACTGACAGTGTCGGCGGGACACTCACCTGTTGAAATGTGTGGTGTTATCGTCACTCTCAAGAATAGTAAACAGACCGTCGATTTCGTTCAAAAAATTCCCACTCATCTTGAATCATTTGCTGTGAACACAGAAACATGAAATACAGTTATTAGAATGTTGTCGTCCATTGAGTAAAGTTAGTAGGCTGCGCTGTTGTTTAACGCCACACTGAGACGAGCATGTAATGATATTATATCGAGTATTTTGTTAGGTGTTTATATCAGTAAATATTATATCTGAGACTTTATTATCGTGTTTATGCTGTGGGGTCTTGATAATAGTTTGTTGTTTTATGCCGCACTCAACATTATTCAAGCTATATGGCGGCTGCCTGTAAATAATCGAGACTGGACCAAACAATCATAATCCAGTGATCAACACCATGCATATATGAGCATACGAGGGTACGATGACTTGTGTCAAACAAGTCTGTGAGGCTGACCATGCGATCCCGTTAGTCGCCTCTTACGACAAGCATGGGTTGCTAAAGACCAATTCTGACCCGGATCTCCATGGCTGTCGGTACATATGTAGCCGGATCGTCACGTTATAACGCAGATGGATATTTATATACAACACAGGACTCGTACATCAAGTCACACAGCACGTATCGCACTTCAACTCGCATAAACACCCCAGAGCCTTAAGGTGTTAAATAATACCTTATCAACCTGCTTCGTTGACAAGCATGTTAGATGATGAACGCAGTGTATTTGAGTATCAGCTATATTTAGGGGTCAACTAAATCACCTTCAGTAGGCTTTCAGTTGAAGTTTTCGATAAAGCAAACTGTGTAGAATCATCAGTCTTTTCAATGAGAAAGGTAATTAGGAATTCAATGTCGTAACACGGTCCCCACATGGGTACAATGTGTGAAGCCCATTTCTGGTGTCCCCCGCCGTGATGTTGCTGGAATATTGCTAAAAGCGGCGTAAAACCAAACTCAGTCAGTCAGTCAGTCGTAACACGGGAATCACAATCGACAAAGACATGGCTCTTTCTTTAAAACTGTCAGAGTTTACAGTATCACATAGCAGAATACATGGTGTTTGTACCTCAGGACTAGACAGTTCTGTGGGGCATATCATGGATCTGAGTGTCAACCTGCCAGCCACCAATGTCAGTCTGTCCGATCGCACTCTCTCCACTTCTTCAACAAATGAGCTGGAGATATACCGGTCTAACAGCTGTTGTCGCTCAAAAGAAGTTCTGCTTTCTGTTCTGGTTTAATATGTTGTTTCATTTTACCAAGTAGACCGCAGTTGATTGACGTGTGTATAAATAACTCATTTTTACTCGCTGTGTGCTCGTATTGTTACCGACGTCATATGAATCGATGTTGTGTAAACAGCGGCAGTCAAGAAGACTAAGTCAATGTGAACTCTCACGATATTGATAAAGTGCATTTCTTATACTCCACGGTTTATCAAATCTCTGAACACCCTGCTAGGAGTCACCTGAACCCCTCACGGTCTTGAAGGGAGAGACGGCTCGATTGTGATTCCGGTTTGGGGGCATTCATTCCTGCATTTTTTTCGTACACTCAGCAATATTAAATCTACTTCGCGTCCGAATTCATTGTCGGGGAGGGTAAAAACATCAAGATCTATGATAAACACGAAGGATATGATGTAACAAGTCATCCTCTCATAGTTAGGCAAGGAATCCACACGTAGTAAAATAAGTAAGCCGTCCCTACGCAGTTAAGCAAGGAATCCACACGTAGTTAAGTAAGCCGTCCCTACGCAGTGAAGCAAGGAATGCCCTCATAGGTAAGTAATTATCCCTACGTTGTTAAGCAAGGAATCGCCACATAGTTAAGCAAGGCATCCCTACGTAGGTAAGCAGGGGATCACCACGTAGTTAAGAAAGAAATCCCCACGTAGTTAAGCAGGGGATCCCCTGAAATAAGCTGAGAACACGTTTACAATCGCCAATGCAGCAGCAATAATCCGTTCGCATATACACCGTTGTCAACAGGCGCTGTGGCTTTGTTTGTACATTGTGGTCTGTCTTCAGTCAGAATTATTCATACACATTAATTAGAGTTACTGCATGAGATCATTAAATATTTATTCCTCTAAGTGCAATCAAATATTATCTTACAACTCGTTGTTGCTTTTGACCTGTGTAACAGCACATGGATTTCCATATCCACATGGCATAAAAAGCTTATGCATGTTAAATAGACATTCATATTTGTATTACATGAGGGTCACCATATTCATGAGATTGTAAGTTGGACATACATGTACACGAGTGTTTGGGCTTGAAACAATCGCATGATATCAATTTGATGGTGAGTGAGTTATTTTTACACTGCACTCAGCAAAATTCCAGCAATATGGCAGCGGTCTGTAAATAATCGAGTCTGGACCAGACAATCCAGTGATCAACAGCATGAGCATCGGGATACGATGACATGTGTCAACCACGTAAGCGAGCCTGACCACCCGATCCCGTAAGTTGTCTCTTACGACAAATATGGGTTACTGAAGATCAATTCTAACCCAGATCTTCACGGGTTTAACTTGATACTTTGTTCAGACCAGCGTTAAGGGTGGACATGTTACACTTTGATGCAACATTACGGTGATGCATTGATTTATAATAATCCATTCGTATAATTGTCACCGCTGTTATGCCTCCTAATCCCAGCGGAACCTGTTTCCATGGACACCTGAGAATGGTCGACTTTGCAGATACAAATATACACAGCCATGTGAAGGTATACAGTTCTTCTATGTTCTCACCGACACTGCTGACTCTTTCTGAAACATTTGTTTTGACTTTAATGACATTGATCTCCGATCGAGTGGCCAGTCATGTGTTCAGACCGTGCTGTGTACCATGTATCACGTTTTAGAGAACGTAAGAATTGGTTCAATGTTCTCAATTGTGATTAATCACCAAGACAATGTCATAGTATCACGTTATTTATGAACAACAGGGAATTCTAATTGGGTAATTGATGTGAAGTCTTAAACAAATACGGCTGGAAATGTGTTTGTCGAAATCAAGATGTACCAAATGAGATTCGTTCTTGATAGTTGTTCGCAAGAGACGACATCGCACATTTTTAGTTCTGACAACTGTTCACTACTACATGTCCAGACACATTTCACCTCGGAATACCATCAGCATGACCAGATATCAGTTCCACAAGATTTAGAACAACATAATCACAGTTCAGATGCAGCTCTTACAGACTTATGATTGAAGTAGGCACTAACAGAAACATCCGCAATGAGAATATGTTCGCAGTATGATGTAAATGTGGCTGAATGCGAGATTCTCTGAGCGTCTATAAGAATTTCTACCATCTTATATAAATATACGGACCAGCCGTTGAACTTACATCCTACTCGACGAATAGTTATACCGACAGTGTCAAAAACAGATAATTCTACGCTAAATAAAAATACGAACGTTCACATATCATGCTAATAATAGAATAACATCTATTATACATATTTACAAGGGGGATGGTGGGGTAGCCTAGTGGTTAAAGCGTTGGCTCGTCACGCCGAAGACCCGGGTTCGATTCCCCACATGAGTACAATGTGTGAAGCTCATTTCTGTCCTCCGACGTGATATTGCTGGAATATTGCAGAAAGCGACGTAAAACAATATTCCCTCACACACAAACGTCTTTCACTATGGGCCTGTGGATATTCAGTTTTGAATTCAACATATCTATGTACATTCGTCAAGCGTCATTCGGCTGATAAGGCCAGAAAGTCGACCCTCGCCGCCCTGTCCAATACACCAAGGAGGCGCTCCTACTTTAACTCGAAAGAATCGCCGAGCTTATATCAACAAACCACTTGCACCTGAAACACCTCAGGCTGTCTAACGATAAGTGTCTCGTTGTGTTGCCAAGGAAGTACTGGTCTGGTTGCCAGCCACTTCATCCGGCTGCGTCTTGTGTCTTAGGAATGCAGAAACCAATGACAACGTACAACTGATGGAACTATGGGATTACAGCATAGACGCCTCCAACTACAAACTACACTACTGCCGATAATAACGCTTAGGCCTGTATGTTGAGGAATAATTGTATTGCGATACGTATTGCGACATATTGGGAGCTACAGTGTTAGACAGTGGGTGATACTGATTGTACCTGCAGATCCTATCTTCTACATGTTAAGTACCCGTTTGAATTGATCTTCAGTAACCCATGCTTGTCGTAAGAGGCGACTAACGGGATCGGGTGATCAGGCTCGCTGACTTGGTTGACACATGTCATCGTATCCCAATTGCGTAGATCTTTACTTATGCTGTTGATCACTGGATACTCTGGTTCAGACTGGATTATTTACAGACAGCCGCCATATTGGTGGAATATTGCTGAGTGCGGCGTTAAACTTAACTCACTCATTCACTCACTCTACATCCTAGGGCCATAAAAATATATGTTATGGTTCTGATAACAGCAATCTCAAAATAAAGTTGTATAGTTAGGGATTTGTTCTAATTTGATTATTTTTGGTACAATTTATAGTATGTTAAGCAACAGTTTTCTCAGCATCAACAAGGGAAACATCAGGTGTGAATGAAAGATTTTCATTAAAACCATAGAGATAATCAAAGCATCTTTTATATTGGTTACCCAATGTATCGGTTCTCAGAAAGGGAAATTACAAAACGTATTGTTTGAAAAGCCTAATGTCGGTAATACCATGCAATCATAATAAAGATAAAAATAACAGTCCGTTTGTGCTGAACTTTATCATATCAGATATCACGCTCAGAGTGCATTATTAGTCACATCATTACTTCATCTTCTACCCATCCAAACAGAGACAATGTCATGTTACACAAGTTCCGGTGTGGACCGGAAGTCCAGACACTGTCAGGATCGAACCTGCTGTATACGGTCCAACATCTGCACATATAGTACAGGTTGCATGTTATACCAGGTAAACGTTTTCAGAGGGCATTATGTTAGCTGCAGAGCGTAATTACTTCAGCATTCCATTCACATATTTCATACAGTTATCTCCCTTGGTATGTTGAGAATATTGTATTTTCATCATCTGCTCAGCACATGTAATGGCACCAACGATGAAGCAT